TCCAATTAATGGAATCGTAGAGAAATGTGTAGAGTTATGAGGATTTTGATGCTCGAAATATGAAAAATGAGCAGTGTAAACCTCTGAGACTCGGACCTGGGCCTCTAGAGTATGTGCCGAGTGTGCTAACCATTACACCATGAAGGCATGCAGAAAGGAGGAAGAAAATCCCCTTTTAAAGACCGACTGAGGGATTAGGGGACCCAATCGTCAAATCCTGGTGGTGAAGAATCATCATCAACCACTGTTTTTTTAGTTTGGACGCCGCTGTAGAGTCATTAGATTATCTTGAAGAGGGAGGCTAAAATATGAGGAATGCCCTCATTGAGACTCAAAGCTGGACACTTTAATAAAGCAAAGAAATAATAACATTTATTTAATAAATTGAAGAAATAAGTATTGAGGTTTTTCTTTTGTGATTTTTGATTCCCTTAAGGCTATAAATGCAAACAAACAACTACTTACTCAAAACAAACAAATACTTGAACATCTTACACAATTATTTAAAATTTTTATTTTTATAATTTCTGCATATCTTATTGCATTAAAACTGATGATCTAAAATCCGGAAAATTCCTAAATTTGAAAATCCTGAAGTCCCGACAAGTCCAAATTTTGGATTTGTCGGGACTTCAGGATTTTCAAATTTTGGATTTTGTTCTGTATAAGAGTTATTGTGGATGGAAAATTGTCATTCTCATGAAAACTCACTGATAGACACACATCATTGTAAAAATAATAAAAATGTGTTGTGGGGATCTTAATCCATGCTAATTCTCTGAAATCTCACAGTGGGCCGAAAACATTACTTTTCTTACCTATGTATGTAGTTTTGCGGGAGGTAGAAAGAGGTTACAGACTGTTTGAAATCCTTAGAAAGGCTTCAGGATGTTTATATAAATGATATCATTGATAAGAACTGTGTTTACAAAAAAAAAAAAAAAAAAAAAAAAAAAAAGAAAAATTTAACCAACAATAATGAAAACCCATAAATAGGCAAATGGTGATACTAATGTTCTACAGGTGACCAAATTCATATCAGGTTGGTAACCAAGTAGCTTTCTGCATGGGTTGGCTGGGTCACATTGCAATAAATAAAAATAAAGTAAAATAAAAAAAAAAAAAAAGTGGAAAACTTAAGTTACTATAAATTGTGTGCAAAATTGGATACCTTGACAGTTGGCATCAAGTGTGAAAGAGAAAAGGGTGTCATTTAGTGTAGTCTCATCTAGTGGAACTCTTGTAGCCAATAAAAACATATTTTTCCTAATTTTGTGAGGCATGAAAATTGTTCTTGCTGTTAAGCTCCAGAAATGAAGGATCAGTCTAAAAAATGGCATTACCCTGTAAATACCTTATTTTATTCTAACCAATTATTTTTAAATTTTAGAACTTTCCTTTCCCTTCTGATTTCAGTTTCCTGCCAGAATGTAAAATTTAATAAGGTAGTATGCAAATCTAAGTGAGTTCCGAATCAGTATTTAAGCAATCCGAAGCAGTATTTTAAGAGTTTATAGTAGGACAGTTTGTTCCGAATTGATGCTTTGTATGTAGCTTTGTACGTAAATACGAGGGCCATCCAGGAAGTAGATTACATTTCCGTCTGTGTCCGCTAGGGGCGGGGCTAGCGCGGCCATCTTGGGGTCAGAGCGTTGCGCAGCTCAGTCTGCATCTAGCCGTGCTAGTGAGAAGTTCTGCTGTGCTCCGTTCAGATACTGTGACGGTTTGAACTGTCTGCGTTAATTGAAAATCCCGCGAGCTGCGAGGGCGCTCAGTAATAAGTTTCTGACTGCAAAAAACTGTAAACCGATAGAAATCTATCGGCAGCTTCGTGATGTATGGGGACACATTATCACTGAAGGTGGATGCGTCAGTGGTCATAAGATTTCAAAATGCCCGAACCATGTTCAGGACGAAGATCGAAGTGGGAGACCCAGCATAGTGACCGCCGAACTTCTCGAAAAAGTCGATGCTAAAGTCCTGAAAATCGAAATTTCACAATAACGGAAACTTTCTTTGAGTTTTCCACAAATTTCGCGAAGTTTGTTGCACGAAATCATCAGCGAAAAGCTTGGTTACCACAATTTTGTGCAAGATGGATTCCAAAAATCTTGACAGAGGACCAAAAAATCAGCGAATGGCTGCAGCGTTGAACTTTTTGGACGCTTACCATAAGGATGGTGACTCTTTACTACTCGATCGCATCGTTACTGGTGACGAAACATGGGTGAAACATGTGAACTGTGAAACGAAATTGCAATCAATGCAGGGGGCACACAAGTTCTCCCCAAAAACCCAAGAAATGCATGCAAACATGTCGGCAAGGAAGATGATGGCGACTGTTTTTTGGGACAGAAAGGTGTATTTTGGTGGACTTCCTGGAAAGAGGCACTACAATAAACTCTCAAAGGTATTGCCAAACTCTCCAAAACTCAGAAGAGCAATTCAAAACAAGCACAGAGGAATGTGAGCTCTAAGATCTTGTTGATTCATCACGACAACCCCGGCCCCACACGGCAAATGTCACTCGTAAAGTTCTTGAATCTTTTAAGTGGAGTTGTTTCCTCTCCTCGCCGTACAGTCCCCGACCTGGCACCGAGCGACTTCCACCTATTCCCAGCAATGAAGAAGTGGCGGCTATGCAGCGTTTTGATGACGACGCACAGCTGCAAGAAGAGTAACGAAGTGGTTGAAGCGCAGGCGCCGAATTTTTCGACGAAGGAATTTCCAAGCTCGTACATCGCTACGATAAATGCCTTAATTTGTATGGTGACTATGTAGAAAAGTAGTATTTGAGTGTGGCTTTCATCTGTATATAATAAAATTTGTTTCCTATACTTTGTTTATTTTTTTATTCCAAAACGTAATCTACTTCTGGTAGCCCTCGTATTTGGGTTAATAAGAAAGTTTGCTTTGTTTTTGTTACAGATGTTGTGTTTTAATTATAATGAATAAGCGTTCTCCATTTTAAAAGGGCCTTTGTCTCTGAACTATTGTTTTCGTTTTCGATCGGCTCAAATACAATGTCCGTTCACTTTTCAAACTGTTGCCATAAAATGTTAGAGTCCTGCATTTATTGAAGAAATTAAATAATGAAAATCTGCATAAATGTGTATATTTCTCGTATTGTGATAAAACAACGGTACATAGAGTTTGAATTGTAATCCTCGCGAATATGAGCATGTGGAAGACCAAATTTGAAATTTGAAATTTGTTTTATGATCGATTTCCTATTTTTAAAACTTTGACGAATTTTTGATTAACAAACTCAAGGATTTCAAAGCGAGCAATGGCAACGTTGTGCAGAAAAAAAACATTTTTATCTCCAGCGCGTGAGTCTCTGTATCGGAAATTCTAAAGATATGCTCGTTTTAAAACTATTTTGCGATATTGCTGTTGCACTGGATCTTATGGTTTAAGTGCGAGGAACATGATATTTAATAAAAAGGTAACACACAAAATGTTAAAAAAAACGCCCTTTGGACGTAATTTAAAATCTGAAACATTTCAGATTTTTTTTTTTTTTTTTTTAAATAGAGACTTAAAGAAAATTTAAAATAAATATTTTATAAATACAGAGGCTGTTTACACATTTTTGTAACGATTTTGATTTTCTCCATGAATTTTAATATTAATTTTAAAACGGATACGTGCGTCAAATTGGATTAAGGTTTAAGTATCGTCTGCAGCATTAAAAATATTCTTTTATTGCTGTAAAAAAACCATTGATCGAAGGGTATATTCTTGCGCTGTCCGAGGAGAAATACTTTTATTCAATTATTAAAAAAAGATGTGGAAAGCATGGTTTAATATTTCTAGACGTAAAATAAGTGACATAATTAATATGAAAGGAAAGAAACATCAAAGTTTACATCTGATTGGGAAAAGGTCAACAAATGCATACCTGACAAAGGTGCGTATATCTCTTAATAAATTTAAGTCGCATTTCATGTTTTAGTGCAGATTGCAGTATGAAAATTATTTGGCAGGTGAAAATTGGAAATATATTGGGGGAAAATGCCGAATCGCCCACTGCTTGGCGCGTTTTTAAGAATTGCTCATACTCAGTATCCATGTACACATTTTATTCCCCCCCCCAAAAAAAACCCAGAATTGCACAAAAATGGCAGTGGCATTGTGTACTCCCTTGACTTTATCCATGTACACATCGACCTGTTTTCATTTAAAAAGGTCAAAGAAAATTGACAAAAATCCATTTCTTCTTACTCTTGTAAAAAGCGCCAAACAAATAAGAGGGCAATTCTGCACTTTAGCCATACTGTATTGTTACGATTAATGGGACTTGGATATGCTTATCTGATCGCAATAGAAAAAATCGATTTACTACCGAAAAAGAGGAGAAAAAAAGAGATCGTATATTGGCTCAAAAGAACAAGGAAAGTTTTTCTAAAGGTTTTATGGTTATTACTGGATTCTGTTATAACAGAAAACTTAAAATAAGGAAAGTGGAAAAAAAGAATTCGAATTACGGTACTATCAGAAATAACTTTTAACACGTATTTTTGAAGAACAAATTCCATCTCTTTATCCAAACAATCTTCACTGTATTAAGTTCCGTGATAATAAGGCTCCAAGCCGTTGAAAAAATGAGAAATGAAACTGGAGTTGAAGCTATTCCTTTTAAATGCATCTCAGTTAAGTCCCCTGATGTGTCTCTGATGGATTACTGTGCATTTGGACTTCCAAAACAAGCTGTGTATAAGCGGCATCCCTAAACATTGGATGGACATTGGAAGATTGTGAAGGAGGAGTGGAATAAAATCAACCTTGATTTTTTAAGAGAAGGATTTTTGTCTTGGAAATACAGATGTAATATGATAGTTCAACAAAAGGGCTATCAGATTGAACATATTGGAAAATATAATTCTAATATTTGTTTATGTATGAATCTTTGCAAAACCATTACAAAAATGTGTAAACAGTCTCTGTAGCTAACATAACGCAATTATAAAACTTATGTTCATTTTTTTTTGTTTCAGGCAGGAAATAAATATTGAAGTGTTTTTAAACATGAGATATGAAAGAACAGATTGTGCTCTTATGTGCAGTGGAGCTGCCACATCATTTGCTGATACTGAGCCAAAATTTATTCGAGAGAATGGTGATTTTTTAAAATCATTCACAGATCGGTAAATATTTCAAAAATATTTTTATGTTGTTATTTTTTTTCCTTTTAGACATTGTATATTTTGCTAGTTATGCATATAGTTTACATCTGTAAATTCCTAATAGATCTATTTATTATACAGTAAAACATTCTAAACTGCAAGCATTACTAAGAAGGATTTTATAAATGAAAAATGTGTATAATCAAAATTTCTTTTTAAGAATATGGATATATATATATTTCTGTGCGTGTGTTTAGTTGTTTAAAATGCTGTCTCTATTTTAAAAAGTTAAAGTATTTCATTTTTAAATTCGAAGAACTCAATGGGTATGGTAAGTAATCTAAAATTAGATCAATCATACATCAGGATTGGTATTCCTTATGAGTCCTTAGGTTTTTTGGAATAGATTTTTGTTCTTAGAAGTCCTTCATTTTAGCCAAAATTGGGGTCCTTAATTTTAATCATCTGAAAGTTCTGTCTGTTTTTACGACTGCCATTTTGAGAGTGAATTAACATTTTGGGGAAACATTCTTGATGCTTTACTGACAAATATGATTATCTTTTGAATGAGTAAATGGGTTCATGGGATATAATTTGTTCCTATTTCTAATATAAACGGTGGGATACTCGAATTTCTGCGCAAGAAGTGAAACATAAGCATTTCGAAATTATTTCATTTTTCTAATGAAGAGCTGGTAAACAACTTTTCACTTATAGGGATGTGAATTCTTTTATTAAACGGTTCTAAATTTGGAAACATATTCAACATTCTCAGATTTTAAGATTAGTTTCTATAGAATGCTTTTAATTCAGAGATCTTGGAATTTTTTGACGATTTTTTTAAACTTTATAAATAATGGTAATATATTGAATTTATATTTAAGAAATAACATTAAAGTAAAATATTTTTATTTTCTGTGTCTTATCATAAAGTGACAATACTTTCCATTTTGGAAACTTATTAAACAATATTCTGAAACTGGGAAAAAAATATCTGATGTGTACACCACATCACTTTCTTGTATGGAATATTAAATTATGCACATTTTCCCCTGCATTTCATTTAAATTTATTGAATTGAATTAACTCTACTTTGTCAATAGTGAATAAACCACAATAGAATAAATGCACTTTTTAATATTCACTATATTTATTTATCATATCATAGCAAGACTCTGGCACTAGGTTCACTTATCAGCATTACATCTCATTCATTGTATAACTCAGAATGAAAAAAAAAAATTCATCTGAAAAATTATCTAATCATTGCCACATGTTCTATTCAAATATTATAATAAATCTAAAATGATGTATAAAAGAAATTAAACAAAAGCAGTTTTTCATAAATGATTCAGCATTGCTTACCTAATACACATGTACTACTCATAAACATTTTGCTTTGTAGGAAACAGACTGGCAACAGTATTTTTTGCTGATATGAAACACTTATTTCCTCTAATTTTATTAGACAAGTATTTCTCATTTAATTCAGTTTTCACTTCGTGGCAAGGCAAAAATTATAAAAACTCAAAATATCTTCATTAAAAATTTAAAGATATTGAAGAACATAAAACACCAAATACAGTTAAAAATTTAAAAAAAAAAAAAAAAAAAATTACAAATAAAATTACAGTTTCTACGCAAAAACAAGCAATTTGACTGCCGTGCAAAAAGACAGAATTTTCGGTGCACAAAACTGAATGTTTACTTTTGGTCTCGCCCAGCAGAAAGACACTGAAGGCATGTGAAACTAATTTAACTTGTTGTGGAATTTTGCAGGAAGTGAAGGTAGGCTTTGTTTTGATGTTTTGTTTGAAATTTGAATTGTTGTAAAATGTCGGAATTACCTAAGTTGAGAAAGGAGATTAGCGCAGTTAGGTCTACATTAACTAAGTTAATTAACAAAGTTGAAGCTTTTATTAAGGAGGATTCTACCGAGATAAATGTTACGAATAAGGTAGATACTTTAAAGGAATTTTGAGCCCAAATAATAGATAAGGAAACTAATTTAAAACGATTAAATGATGAAGTGAAAAATCTTTGTAATTGTGATGATATAGAAGAGGAAATTATTGTGTCAGAGGAATATTCAGAAAAAATTATCCTCTGGAAACAAAAGATAACTAATGTAATTGATAGATTAATGAAAGATGAAATGAATATTAGTAACGTATCCTTTTCTATTCCTGCAACTGCTCAAGGTACACTAGAAAACCAAACCTTTAGAGAAACCAAGACAGTTAAAACTTCCTAAATTGATAATCAGTAAATATTATGGTGATCCTGCTTCTTGGCTAGAAATTTATAACCAGTTTGAAATCGCTATTCATAATAACAGTAATCTTACAAAGATAGATAATTTATTTAAAGTCATATTTAGGGGTATGGCATCTAATTGTATAAGTGGTTTTTGCGTTAACGAGAAGAAAATTATGATTCTGCTTTGGATATATTAAAAGGTAGATTTGGTAATAAGAATACTCTTATACAGACACATTTGAATGAGTTACTTAAAATTCCTATTATTAGAAGTATAAATGATTTAGCTGATTGAGAAGGTTGTTTGACAAAGCTGATACTCAAATTAGAAGTTTAGAGTCGTTAGGAGTTGAAACAAAATCTTTCAGCACTTTTTGATTCCCATTTTGTTAGAAAGAATTCCAAGGAACTTGTTTAGAATTCATAGAGCGTATCAGATAGTGATTGGAATTTTAAGGATTATTTACCTTTCTAGACCAAAGAGATACGGTCTAGGGAAAGGACATATTTATTTAGTTGCAAAACTGAAAATTATAATTTTGGTAATGAATATAAAAGTAATTCTAGGAAATTTGAAAATAAAAAGCTTAACACTAATAGGAATATATCAACTGCTAGTTATACTACAAGTGTTAAAAGAAATTGCATATTTTGTAATAGCAAAGAATATCAATTTTGCAAATTTGAAAGTGTCGCGGGAAGGAAAAATAGATTACGAAGAGATAATAGATGTTTTCGCTGTTTTTCAAAATTCCATTTAGCGCGATTCTATAAAAATAAACTTGACCCATGCAAGAACTGCAACAGCTTAGCTCACCACTCCTTGCTATGCGAAAAAAGTAATAAATTAGCTGAAGTCGAAGGGGGAAAAGAGAATTCAAACGCGGTGACTCAGTGCAGCTCCTCTCAGCGGGGGTCAAATGGCAGTGCTTTACTGCAAACTTGTACTGTCTTGGCTTGTTCAAAAGGAAACTTTAAACTATGTTGTGTGTTAATGGATAACGGGAGTGAAAGATCTTGGATAACAAAATCTTCGGCATATGCCCTTAGCCTTAAAACCATTCGAAAGGAAAAATTGTCAGTTTATGCTTTTGGGTGTACGAAAGCCATAAATAGAACTTATAATAATAGAACTTAGTGTAGTAAAATTAACATTGAGGAATAGGAAGGATCCTAAGAAATATATTGAGAATAGAAACATTAGTTACTGAAATGATTACTGCCGTACCCATTGCATTTCCCAATATAAATATTCAAAATATTTTTAAGCAAACGAGTTTAAATTTAGCTGAGGCATGCATGGATTCAGATGAAGGTATTCGCATTTTAATAGGAGCAGATTATTTTTGGGACGTCGTTAAAGAGTCGAAAGTAGAAAAAATAACCAAAACGCTAAACTGCATACAAACTATTTTTGGCCTTACAACTCCAGGGCATACAAAATAATTCTGAGGATAAAATTTGGAGAAACATAGTATCAACAAATTTTTGCACTGGCACTGATATGCAGATGCTATGGAATTTAAAATCGTTACGAATTACAGATTCTAATTTGAAGATAATTTGAGGTTTGTAGATAGAAAGATACGAAACTTGTTTGTTATGGGGAATAAAGCCAACGGATTTAAAAAATAACTTTTTTCTTGCTAAAAAAAGACTTGAGGACTTGAAAAACAATTTCGAAAATAATGAATGGTTGGCGAATGAATACAAGGACATAATTTAAAGATCAACAGAGTAAAGGAATAATTGAAGAATGTTCTAGGGATGCAAAGGAATATTTCATGTCCACATAGAGCAGTTGTGAGAATCCGATAAGGATACTACTAAAGTTTGCGTGATTTTCAATTGTAGTTCGAAAGCGAAACTAAATCTTTCTTTGAATGATTATTTAGAGACACTGGGCCGAAATTTGAATCCCAGTGTACTAGACGTAATTTTAAATTTTAGGAAATTCAAAATTGCATTTTGTGCTGATATAGAGAAAGCATTTTTGATGATTGGAATTTCAGAAGAGGATAGGAAATTTTTTAAATGTTCTTGTGGTTATCAGAAAATACAAAAGAAGACCACAAAATAATGCGTATGACACGTTTGTCGTTTGGTTGTAAGTCATCGCCATTTATTTTAAGTGCAACAATAAAAAAGCACTTAAAGCAGTACAGGAATAATAAACCCGGATGTTTGCGAAAATTAAAAACTAATTCTGAGAAAGTGAGGTCATTGTGGATGCAGAATGGACTTAGCAATGATACTTGTACTTCTGATTGTCAGTTGAAGGTTTTAGGCTTGAACTGGAACCCAGTAAATGATAAATTTTCTTTAGATATAGCAAGATTAATGGATAGTTTAAAGAGTTTGAAGAGCACAAAGCGTTATGTCTTACATGTTGCAGCAATGATTTTTGATGCAATTGGTTTTTGCAACTCCATTTGTAGTTAGGATTAAGTGTTTGCTACAGGAAATTTGGGAACGTGGTATTGGTTGGCATGAGAAATTGCCAGATGACCTTAAAATCAAGTGGACTAGCTGGTGTTCTAAGGTTAAATATCTGAAGGATATTTCAGTTCCGAGAAATTTATTTGTGTGTTGTGATAACTTAAATTCAAAAATGGAAATACACGTATTTTGCAATGCGTCTACTATAGCTTATGGTGCTGTAGCGTATTGTCGTTACTTAAATGATAAGGGTGACATTTCTGTGTTGTTTGTCATGTCGAAAAGCAGAGTAGCTCCTTTGAAGAAACTGACGTTGCCACAATTGGAACTAATGGCAGCAGTCATAGGAGCTAAAATAAGAAAGTGTCTGGGAGAGGTTTTTAAGGATCTTATTGATAAATTTGTGTATTGGACCGATTCCTTAATTGTCTTGTTTTGGATAAAGGGTTCTGCGAAGCAATGGAAACAGTTTGTCGGTAATAGAGTGGTTAAGGTGCAGGAAAAATCATCCCAGATCTTGGAATCATTGCAGTGGAAGGGAAAATCCTGCTGATTTAGTTAGTAGGGGTGTGCCAGCTCAATGTTTGTTGGAAGGTGATCGTTGGTGGTGTGGTCCATATTGGCTTAAAGGAAAAGATAGTTTTTCCCCTCAGCATCCACTGAAGGATATCCCACTGGAAGTAGTAGAAACTGAGAGAAAGGGAAATGCGTTGTGCATACTACTGTGATTAAGAAATTTGTGATTGATGAACTGCTTCATAAATATTCTTCTTGGACAAAACTTTTACGAGTTATAGCTTGGTGTCTCAGATTTATTGCCAGTTTGAAACGGTCATCAATAACAAGGACAAAATCAAATTTTCTCCAGACTAGAGAGAGCTAGCCGTAGCACATTCTTGGGTAATCAAGTCTTCTGTGCAAATGCAAGAATTTAGTGAAGAAATCGATCATTTGAAAAAGAAGAAAACTAGGTGAGTCCTCGCAGTAAACTCAATATGTTGAATCCATTCTTAGACGATGAGGGTATTCTAAGAGTGGGAGGACGACTAAGAAATGCTAGCATCGCACAGAATGTAAAATATCCAGTCATTCTGCCTAAATCACACTATATTACAGAACTGATAATACGATATTATCACTATAATAAATATCTTCACGGAGGAGCACAAATGCTCCATTCAGAAATCAAGCAGAGATACTTGGATTATTAATGCACGAGCAGCCATTCCGCAAGATCATTCGTAAATGTGTAACATGCTGTCGACACAGAAGTGAGCTGTCATATCAAGCAATGGGCGATCTTCCAGCATCCAGAGTGAATCCCGCAAGAGCTTTTTCGAAATGTGGTGTGGATTTTCCGGGTCCTTTCCAAGTTAAACCGAAGAAAGGGCGCGGTGTTCGGACAGTGAAGATCTGCGTTTGTGTTTTCGTATGTTTAGTACTAAGGCATTTAGAACAAGTTGGAGACATGACGACAGATTCCTTCATAGCAGCTCTAAAACGATTCATTGCCAGACGTGGAAGACCGGAGGAAATGTATAATGATTGCGGCACTAATTTTATAGGTGCCAACAGACAACTGAAATCATATCGTTCGGACCAAAGGGTAACTAGATACTTAATAGAGGAAGAAATTAAGTGGAATTTCAATCCGCCTTCTGCGCCACACTTTGGTGGACTATGGGAAGCTGCGGTAAAGGCTATATATATAGAGCCTTTACCGCAGCTTCCCATAGTCCATATATCATATGAGAAGAGCAATTGGTTCTCAAGTTCTAACTTTTGAAGAATTTGCTACTTATCTAGCAGAAGTTGAGGCATGTCTGAACTCAAGACCAACAGTAGCGATTTCAAGTGATCCAGATGATTTTTCCGTGTTTACACCAGGTCATTTTTTAATAGGAACATCATTAAAGGCTATTCCAGAACAAATGTGTGCGACGAGACACTAACACTTCGCAATCGTTGGAAACTAATTCAGCAAATGTCACAGTCCTTCTGGAGGAAATGGTCTAAGGACTATGTGACTCAACTGCAAGTTCTCACAAAATGGCATCATGCTTCAGCAAATATTAAAGTAAATGACTTGGTAATCATTAAGGAAGATAACATGCCTTCCTTAAAATGGAAACTGGGACGTATCACCGAAATTTACCCAGGTAATGATTACAGAGTGCGTGTTGTAAAAGTAAAAACTGCTGATGGTGAATTCAAAAGACCCATTCACAAACTGTGTGTGTTACCAATAGACTGTTAAGTATCGTGAAAAATTTTGAACTTTAACTTGATATTTATCTATATTCATTTGAATTCTTTAGTTTTAATGTTATTGTACACATTTATTATATTAATTTGTGTAATTCATTGTTTATAGTTATATGTTAATTTAGGCTTAGTATTACTCATTTATAAGCAAGAACTATTTAATCTAGAAATTATATGTTTACTAAGAATAATGTTAAGTAATAATTTCATGTAAGAGGTAGTTTGATGTCCTGAACGGTCATCCGTGGGGAGTGTGTTGAGATCTCCCATAGAGGGCATTGTAGCACCCCTCAACTATGTGAGAAAAGTTTCGATTTGAGTCAGAGTTAGCGTGGGGGTTTGAGAATGTAGTGTGAAGAGCTGTGTAACGTGTATGTGCTGTGTAACTGTACTATGTAATATAATGTAATTAAATGTATTTATTTAAAATGTGGAGCAGTTTTGAAGGAGCAGACTTCACAGGAGTATATAAGGTATTTTCTCCCTCCTTTCTTCATGTCTTTGTGGTATAATGGTAGCACATTTGACGTTTATTCGAGAGGTTCAGGTTCAAGTCCCAGCAAGAGCATTGCACGTTTTTCATGTTTCCTGCTTCAAAATAATCTTGTGACTCTACATGGTCACCCGAACTAAAAGGTGGTGGATGATGATTTTTCACCACCAGGATTTGGCGACTGGGTTCCCTAATTCCCAGTCACACCGTAAAAGGAGGAGTATATAAGGTATTTTCTCCCTCCTTACTGCATGCCTTTGTGGTGTAATGGTAGCACACTTGGCGCCTATTTGAGAGTTCCAGCGAGAGTATTGCACATTTTGTATGCCTTCTACTTCAAAATAACCTCGTGACTCTACATTGGAGCAGGAACTAAAAGGTGGTGGATTATGATTCTTCACGACCAAAATTTGGTGACTGGGTCCCCTAATTCCCAGTGGCCCTTTAACCCTTTAACTTTCAAGTTATTTTGATGATTTGGGTACACAAATTGTCAAATTTTTTTATTGCAAAAATCAAATGTTTAGTACAAAATAAAATATACTTAGTAGTTAAAAATTGATATTATGAAGTACATGGGTAAAATTTTTAAAGTTTTGTAGCCACTGCATATTTGCTTGAGGCGGCTGCCACTCAACATGGCAGTTGTAAAGTTCGCTTCTAGTGGAGCATTATTTTCTAAAAAAAAAAAAAATAAAAAATAAATAAAAGTGAATACCTATTAGTAGTTCAGTAATTCAGTCTTGTGTGGTACAACTGGAAACACTTTTCCAAGCACAAACCAACTCCACAATCACTACACCAGAATCGTGATTCCTTCCTTATCTTTTCCCCATTTTTATCCTTTTTCGAACAACACACTTTGCACTGTCTTGTAGGCTCACGTTTCGCAGGAGTAGGAGGAATATGGGATATAAAATGTCGTTCAGTAAGACGGGCAGGGTTATCTATTGTAGGTGGTCTGCCAACATTCTTTTGTCCAGAAGCTGCATCATCATATTTATGTAAAAGCTCTTCTACAACTTGGATTCGAAATTCTAAAAATGTAATACGTTTCCCAACTACATTTTTATAGAGCAAATATGAGTTCCAGAGTACCTTGTCTAGTAAATGTAAAAATATCTTTTTATAATATTTTTTCTGACGTTTTCGGATTGTTGGATGAAAGGATATTTCCTGATCACAGCGATCTACACACCACCCATAGTTAGACCGTAATTAGAAACAATCTTCGGCTTGAGTATATCTTCCATTTTTTTTTTTTTTTTTTTTTATTTTTGAGGCTGACCATGGAAGTATCATGAATACTGCTCATCAAACACACATCCTTCTTATCTTTCCCTTATAGCCAAATCTCCTCTTTAAATTATTTGACTTTTTTAATTTCTTTGCGATCTAGGTAAATCTCTCTTACTCTGTGCAAAATCTGTTTTTGGGCATAAGTATCTCAGCTCGGTGCAGTAATACCTGACTACATGATTGACACTGTGGTAGAAGAAAAAACAACTTTATTCAAAATCATAGTTGGTAGAGCCTCCATGAGAGGTATTACAGTGTGGACCCTCCGGGGCATACTTTTCACAAGTCTTCATATGACAGCTAGTGGTATTTTCTTCCACTCAGCCTGGAGAAGACATAGAAGTTCCTTCACCGATTTTGCATGGGTAGTGCACCCTTGATTTTGGCGATGCAACTCATCGCAGGTTTCTGATAGGTTCAGGTCTGGACTGAGCAGGCCAGTCCATTCGATGAACTTCATTGGCACCATACCAAGCCTTGGTTAATGTCGAAACATGACAACTGGCATTGTCATCCTGAAAGTAACGGGGCCAACCTGTAAAACTGCCACAATGTAGGAAGCACATTGTCATCCAAAATAGTGCAGTAGGCATCAGAGTTGAGCTTACCATGAATGGGGACCAAGGGTCCCAGCCCATACCAGGAGAAACACCCCCAGACCATAATTCCACCAGTCCGTTCGATGAACTTCATTGGCACCATACCAAGCCTTGGTTAACGTCGAAACATGACAACTGGCATTGTCATCCTGAAAGTAACAGGGGGCCAACCCGTAAAACTGCCACAACGTAGGAAGCACATTGTCATCTAAAATAGTGCAGTAGGCATCAGAGTTGAGCTTACCATGAATGGGGACCAAGGGTTCCAGCCCATACCAGGAGAAACACCCCCAGACCGTAATTCCACCTCCGCCGAACTTGACTGTTGGCACGATGCATTCTGGCAGGAGACGTTCTCTAGGTAGACGCCAGACCCAGACCCTGCCATCCGAACGGTAAAGGGCGAACCTTGATTCGTCACTCCAAAGAACCCGTTTTCACTGATCTACGGTCCAATTTCGATGTGCTTTGGCACCACATTAACCGAGCAGCGCAGTTGGACTTTGTGATCAAAGGCTTATGGGCAGCAGCACGACCATGAAAACCAACCAGATGTGCTTCCTTATGGATGGTATTTATTGAAACAATACTCCCGGATGCCTGTTGAAACTCCTCGCGGATGAGGGACATTGGTTGGGTGTGGTTCTTCCGAATTTCTCTGGACAGCACTCGTCGGTCTCTATCTTCCAGTTTCGTTGGTCTGCCGACTCGGGGCACATTCCGACAATCATTGCACACTTTGCACTTCTTAATCACATAGGCCACTGTCGATGTACTTCAGATCATTAGATATGTCCCTTAAGGATCGGCCACATTTGTGATACCCGATAATTATACCTTTCTCGAAATCGGAGAGCTCCGAACTGCGAGGCATCTTGCATGCGACTAAAGCTGATGCTGTTTCCTACATGATATATACCGGCGGAGTTCATGATGTACCTTAGGATCACAGATATCATCATTTGCATAGGTGTCCAAATACTTATTGGTAGTCAGTGTAGTTATCTACAGTCACACAATAATCATTTCCAAGAAAGCAATGCAATAGTTGCATGACGACTTTTGTAGAAAGTCCATAATTTGTATACAATTGATTGAAGACAGTTTTATTTTCTGTATAGATAACAAATTCTGTATTTCTGTATAGTCACAAATATACCCTGTTTCCACCTCACAAATAAAAAATTTGATTCCAAATCATGCACGTTTGATAGGAATATATTGTTTCCAAGATAACCTTCCTTTATAAGGCATCAAGCTTTCATCAACCAATACATCACTTTCCGGTATGTAAAAATTACAAAATTTTTCCCGTAAATTTTCTATCACATTAT